CTCCTGAATTCCTTCAGGCTTGGATGGAAAGACACAAAGTTCAGACACGAGAAAATACTGAGTGTGAAAGGACAAAAATGCTGGAGACTTTTTTTTTTTGAGTGACAGTTTCTTTACACATGAGGTCATGAGCTGGAATTAGATGATTTAACTTTCCACCTTTCAGGAATGGCATAAATGGGAAAATTTGGCCATGCCAGATCAAAAATAAAGTAATAGAAAAGATAACAGTGAAAAGAGAGGGTGCATAATAAGATTGAAAGAAGGAAGTAGAGCTCTAAGAAGATAAACTGGCATAGACTATCCCCCAAGCTTCAGTTCAGAGACTAGGAAGGGAATACAAACAAAAAGAACACACACTGATGGAAAAGCATATGCTTGCCACGTGCCATGAAACATCTCTAGGTCACATGTTATCATCTTTTATTTTTCACCTAGACATCGTCAACATTGCTTCATTTTCTGGACTCAGCACACTGCCAGTCGAGGAGGTTACTCACCTCAACAATGAGGACTTTGACAACTGTGTCCTTTCTCCCGGTGTCAGGGACTGTGGCCACCTCAGAACCACAGGGCTCTGGGGACTGCAGTGCCTCTGCAGTCACAGAGAAATTCACATTCCCTGAAACACATGGTCCATAGAGCTGAGCTCAGATGTGCCAGGAACTCGGTATTCACCAAAGTCCCAATATCTGCAAGGAATTCTCAGTCTCTGAGCAGCTCAAGAGCTTTTCCTGTCTTGATAAAGGGTTTAAGCATGGGCCACAAGCACCAGTGACTGAGCACTTCCTCTTGTGGACCCAATGAGAAGGATGCAATCTAGGAAACCTGCCTACACCCACCCTTTCTGGGTAGAGTCCCCTTGCAAACTTTTCACTCACCTAGAAACTTGGGAGTCACCAACCAGGACGTGGTGTGCCTCCCGTTGGCACAGAGGCAGTAAGAATCTTGGGCTTTCTCTACCGGGACAGCTGTGAAATCCGGAGAGGCTGCCAGCTGCACAGCCAGCTGTGGTCCCACAGGGGAAAGAAATAGTGAAGATGTTACTCTGCAAGGACAGCATGCATGGAGGAGGCAGGCAAAAGAGTGTAAGGGGATTTGTGTTAGAAAGAGCAGGAGGGGCTGATGGAAAACATGTGCCTAAAGTGTCATATATGCTGACACAGAAGGCTTGCATGGATTTCATATGCACATACATGCCTAGAATGTTATTTAGCTGTCATCTATGTATTATCTACCCAAACAATTATGGAGACAATTATATATTTCTATATTTATCTCTGTTTCATTTTGATGACAGAAATATTCACTGTACTAGGTTTTTAACTACTGAAGTCTACACCTCTACACCTACTTATAACAAAAGCAAAATCTATCCTGCAAGAGCCCTGTAGATCTATGTGAACTGTGTCTTTTGACTGTATTCAGAGGCCACATGGAATGCCCTGTCTCTGTCAGTACAGTATGTACTGGGCAAACACTGGAAAAAATCACCCAATACATCTTATGTAGAGTCCATATTGATAAAGTCTGCTGTATGTGTTTAGCTTGAGTATGGAGATTAAGGGATTTGGAACCAGGGCTATTGGGTCCAATACAGTCCCTTCCTGCTTTTCATGTACTTCCTCGTTACAGTTTACATGCATCAATTGCTCCTTCCCCTCTAGACATGCTTAATTCAGAAAGGTGTTCACCCGGATGCAGGTGGGAAGATAGTTCAGCACAGTGGCCTTGAGCGTGAAGGCTTCTCCACGGATCACAGAGTAGGGCATCGTGAGCTCCACGAAGAAGGGCTGGAAGGCTTGGAGAGAAACCACAGGAGAGAGCCCAAGTCCAGTGTCATTGGACAGGCAGAAGGCCCCGGCCTTCCACTCAGTGATGGTGTCAGGGACTGTCACTTCCATTTCAGCTACTCCTGAGGAGCTGGGAGAGTGAGAATGTGAAGCACAGAAAGGGAGCACATGTATTAGTTATTTCTCAGATGGTCCTGACGAAATACCATCCCTCGAGTCCTTCAAAGGGGTGACAGGAAGTGTACAGTGCAAATAGGACCCCAGATGGAAAATCAAAGGTCTTGCTGTTTTCTCGAATTTTAAACTCAGATCATAGGCTCACATCACCTTAAAATCTGTGTGTTAGTGGAAATCTGAACATGGATTTGAAGTTGCCTCTGAACTCTCATCTCCAAAATACCGTTCAACAACTTCATGGCTTCCATGGTCTACTCTATGTATGAGTCTAGTAGCCTACTCCATGAAGGACTGCCTCACTTCCTACTCAACACTGTGTTCCTGAATGGTTTTGAGCATCAAAAAGTACATGGATAATTTTCATGTGCATTTTCTAGGAGTGATGGAAACACGTATATCTCACGATTCATGGGTTAATATGCTGTGTTTTTTAAATTAGTCATTTTCTTCGTTTATGATAGAAATTAATTAGAGAAATACTAGAAAACAAAGAAAAATGTTCATACCCAGCCCAAATGATACAAACAGAAATTGCTTACTTTACTGTGACTAAATCCCAGATCCAGGTTTCAGGAAAATAGTTTCGAAAGGTCTCAGTATTTGTATCTTCACGTGGTGGATCCTCAGTTGATGGATACGTACCTTCCCTTAGGTACGCAATTCCATCAGTGTAATTTATATTGTCAAACATTCTAGCAGACACTATGAAGGTACAGTGGAAGAAATGAACATAGCACTTGAATACAGCGGGATACAATGTGCAGTGTGAATGTAGGCTAATTTTCAGCTTCTTCTTGACTACTAAGCACTATTACAGTTACACTGGAATTTATGCCTTGAACTTCTTGATTTGGGGAGATTAGATAACATTTTTGTCAAAAGCAGAGATCATAAAATCCTGGGTAAACCATCACCAACTATACTTGGTTTTGCAAGGAATCATGATCCATATTATGTTGGGTTGGATAGTCAGGGAATGTTTACAAAGACAATGTTCCCTCTAGGAGGAATGAAGAACTCTACTACTGCCTCCCAGGAAACAGCTCCTGTGGCTACAGTGAGAATCACTCGGGACAAAAGCTGAATGATGTCTACATTGTCAGCAGAGATATTCTTGCAGTGGTTTTTCTTTCTCTGGATCTGCAGAATTAACCCACAATTTTAATAGGTTTTTAATTCATATAAAAACAGAAAGAGATATAAGTACAAACTCTTGGATCAGAACTAGGAAGTTTATTACCCAAGAATCATAGCATTAGTTTGACAAGAAATGTGAGATTAAAAACTGCAACTGAGGGTCTGTCCTCTGCTTTTCCCAAGAACAAGTATTCACGCAAAGCGGGTTAGGGCTTTGCCTTACTATTTCCCAACTGACTTCTCAGCACCGAAACTCTCTCAGTAATTTAATACATATACACATGGAGAGTTTAGTTTCTGCCTGTCCTTCTCTGTGATGGCCACAACCTCTAGCCTGGCCTCTGTCTTTCTCTTTGCTGTTACTTCCTCGATGTTTTCTAGTGTCTAGGTTCTTCACTCATTACTGTAAACATCTACAGGGGCAGTTGCCCAATTTATTCACTGTCTAGAGTAGTCACAGTGCCTCAGATCCTATCGCTTTTGAAACTTGTGAAGATATTTCAGTTTCTTTTCAAATCACTATGAGGTAAGTTAATGGAGTCCAGTCGGAATCATGTTTATTTATGTTAACACATCAGTTAAAACAAATTTTAGTATGTAGAGTATAAATAATAATGAAGACAGGGATTCATGATTTTAAGTTATATCACAGAGGCATAGTGCTAAAACCAGCCTGTAACTGGCACATCAAATGCTATGCAAAATACAAGCCCCAAACATACACTCATGTAGTTATAGCCATCTGGCATTTGACCCTCATGTAGTTACAGCCATCTGATAGTTGGCTTAGATGCCAACGCACAGACCCACAGCATCTCAGCAAATGGTGCTGGGAAAACTGGATGCTCGCATATAAAAGAATGAAAGCAGACCTATATCTGTGACCCTACACAAAAATCCACTACAAATGGATCAAGGATCTCAACAAGAAACCTTAAACTGCAGGAACCCTACAAAATACATGTTCAGGAAAGACTTTCTGAATGGTAACCTTTTCCTTAGAAATTAAGGCTAATAAGTGACCAATGGGACCTTACAAAACTAAAATGCTTTTGCACAACTAAGGAAACAATCAAGAGAGTGAAGCAGAAGTCACAGAGTGGGAGAAAAACCTTTGCTAGCTAAACACCTGAGTGAGGATAAATATCCAGAGTATATAAAGAACTAAAAAACAAAGAGTCAGGAAAACAAACATCCCAATCTAAAGATGGGATGTGGATCTAAATGGTGTTTTCAAAAGAAATGAAAAAGGAAATATGTTTTAAAAGTGTTCATCATGCAAGAAAACAGGGAAATGCAAATTAAAAAAAGTTTGAGATTTTATCTCATCCCAGTCAGAATAGCAAAGAAAAAAAAAACCTGTCAAAAAGTGCTGGAGGGGATGCAGGGAGGAGGGTGGAGGGAGAGGGGTGAGTTAAGGATATTGGGGCAGGTTAGGCGGTTGGGGGAACCTTCATTTGCTGATGGTAGGAATACAAATGTTGTGGCCACCCTGGAAGTGATTCCCATGAGGGAAGAGGGAAAGCCTTGAAATGGTTAGCTGGTTGAAGATTGGAGTGAGAATGTACCTTTGACTCAGGTGCTTTTTTTCCTTCTTCTTTACTATCCTCCTCACCTTTATTTGCTATGCCTGCTTTCTCCTTCTCTTCTTCATCCTTAACACTTAGGGAATTCTCTTCACCTCTCATGATAGTCCTACAACAGTTCTTCAGGCTTCAAACAAGGATTCTCTGTTACTGCAACTACTGCACTTTGTCTTTTTTTTTTTTTAAACACTGAAGAAATGACCTCTAGCCTCAACTTCCTTACAGTATCACCATATATCTGGGCACATTTTTCTCAAGGAAGTTTATGTTCTTTCTCTCTTATCTGGATGCTATATGTGCTCAATAATTATGTTTTACCACCTTTGAGAAATAATTCACACTTATTTTGTTCTGAAAACACAAGCTGATTTGTTATTTTACCTGCTATTAGAAAATGGTCATAGTTGAGACATCTTTTAGGATGCTTGATCTCCAAGTTGGTGAACGCCTGTAAACCCACATCCTAGAAAGAAAATTATTAATGTAGAAAAATATCTCAAAATTCTGAAAAAAAAAAGACTCAGTGTGTATAAAAATTACAGTAACTAAATCAGATATAGTCTTACATGCTCAAATAGAATTCCCATTTAAATTGTGTTTTTCATGCTCTTTAGAGAGTGCATCAAAGAACACTGAATTCATAGTGAGGGCTATGTGTGGGCCTTCATTCTGATACAACACTGTTACTTTAAAAAGTCACTCACAGCAGTGCGTCATGGCCCACGCTTTTAACCCCAGTGTTTGGGAGGCAGACAGGAGGCAGAGGCAAAGAAGCAAGAAGCTCTCTGAGAGACCATTCTGATCTACATAGTAACTTATAGGACAGCTAGAGACAGATACATAGTGAGAGCCTGTCCCTAAAAAAAACCATAATGATGATGATGATGGTGATAAGATGATGATAATTGTAAGTCACTCACCCACTCTGTGCCAGTTTCCTCAATAAAAAGAAAAAATTATCAGAAGAGGGAGAAAACAAATTACTGGACAAGAACCTACCACAGAGGGCCTCTGAAAGGCTCTACCCTGTAGGGTATCAAAGATATGTTGAGACTTATGGCCAACCTTTAAGCAGAGTGCAGGGAATCTTATGAAAGAAGTGGGAAATAGTAAGACCTGGAGAGGACAGGAGCTCCACAAGGAGAGCTACAGAACCAAAAAATCTAGGCACAGGGTCTTTTATGAGACTGATATTCCAACCAAGGACCATTCATGGAGATAACCTAGAACCCCTGCACAGATGTAGCCCATGGCAGTTCAGTGTCCAAGTGGGTTCCATGGGAACAGGGACTTTCTCTGATATGAACTGATTGTCCTGCTCTTTGATCACCTCCTCCTGAGGGGGGAGCAGCCTTATCAGGACACAGAGGAAGACAATGCAGCCAGTCCTGATGAGACCTGATAGGCTGGGGTCAGATGGAAGGGTAGGAAGAACTTCCCTATCAGTGGATTTGGAGAGGGGCATGGGTGGAGAAGGGGGAGGGAGAGTGGCACTGGTAGGGGACGGGAGAAGGAGCTACAGGGAGGATACAATGTGAATAAGTTGTAATTAATAAAAAATGAAAAAATATTTTTTTATTGAAAAAACATTTAAAAAAGAAAAAAAATAGCTTAGACAAAACACTTTCCAAGTGCAGTGTTTGGAATGCCTGGGATACCCACAGCCTACCACATGCAAGGTGGGTGGCCTGGCCTTGGCTTACATCCCAGCCTGACACTAAAATTCTTGACCAACAAAGCATTTCATTAAACCTAAATACTTCACACACAACATGTTATTGGATCATATGGCTTACCTCTATGGAGTCATAAACTTCCTTGTCATTTACATGTGCTCCTGAGTATGTGAATCCAGGCTTATCTTCAACATTCACACAAAAGTCTCGTTCTTCAGGCAGATGGTGGGATCTTGGCATTAAGTCCTTGTGCTGCATCTCTGGCAGACGGTAGATCTGTAAGACACAGGAGACAAGGTGGCCGCTTTCTTGAAAGATGCAAAAAGAACATGATTAGCGTGCTCACTGTAAATCACTTGAATGCTAGAGAAATGGCTGTAATCATCGAAAGGACAGGCTCCCAAAGTGTGGATAGGGCAGAGTGCTGGGAATGAGGGAACATGATTCCTGTTGTTTTTGTCATAACACTTCAGGCAATAGATACATTTTTAAACTAACTGCCATATTTGTCAGCCAAAACAATTTGCTCAAGAAATCTCTTACTTAACAGATTTGGAGAGAGTAAAAATTAAAAAAAACAAAACAAAACAAAACATTTTAGCAATATACTTTCTCAAGCATTTTCTGAATTGCATAATGAAATCTCAATGTAAATAAAATAAAATTCAGGTTTAACTCATGCGTTAGTTTAAAACTGGTAAGTTCCCAGCATTACCTGGATGAGAGATTTCTGTTTTTAAATTCACGTATGTCATTTACATTTGAAAACGTTCTATTAGGCAGAGTCAATCAAAATTTTAAGCTATTACAGTGATCATGTAACTATTCCTAATAAATCCTATTCTTACTTCAATATAAAGAAGAGCTTTACTAGCATTAACTGCAAGACTCCTAGACAGAGTTTAGGGTTTCAGTTCTACTTCTGAGAATTTTCAAAGCAAGTTTAGAACCTTGTAATACAAAATTTAAAATTTTAAGTCATCATGTCTTTTTCTTATTTGGGGGACTCTTGAGATGTGCAAGATTCCATGTGTACACACTTTCGTTCAGCTCCCACAGGCAGCATCAACTCATCATGAGCTTGTGAAGGGCACAAGCCACTCCTAGGGTAGGAGGATGCAATCATGACACAGAGGGCCTGGGTCTCACACAAGCTTTGCAACTCACTGACTGCATCACTTCCTGGTTTGTCTGGAGTTTTCTGGCTCATGTTTTCTGACATGTTCCTCTGGTTGTACAATGAAGGGCTCCCTAGAGACTCCCTTAGCATCAATCGCAGTGTATTTACATAAAGAGCCCTGGTGATGGATGGCTGCTTTATCAGCACCAGGGCCTCCTCCTGCTCAGAGCCTCTTGTTGGCCTCCCTTGGGCAGAGGCTGATGGGGACTCACCCAGGAAGAGGAGAGCTCAGCTTCAGGCCTCAGGAGCAACACGCTTTGGTCCACTGCTCTCAGGCCACAGAGGGACTGAGGAGAAGCTGTGACACGCAGATGGGCCTGTGAGGCAGGGAGACTTCGGGCTGGGCTGAAGCTCAGGTCCACCTGCGGGAAGGGAAATCAAGCTTAGCGGGTCTTCCAGCTCCTGCAGCCCTGAAGCCTGCCACGTGGAACCGCTGTGCAACTCTGCACACACATCTGTGTTTCCGGACTGTGAGCACTATGGGAAGCTGAACTGAGGCTCTTTGCTTCCCCTTTCTCCCCTGGGATTGATGCAGGAAAACAGGAGATGTGTCAGTCCAAGTCTGAGGCAACTAGTGACCATTTCGGCTTCCTAAGAGTCGTGCAAATAGCTCATGTTTGGTATGTGTGCACATGTATGTGAGTGTGGAATGCACATGTATGTGAGTGTGGAAT